GTGTCGGGGAGCGAGCGGGCGGGCAAGCGGCTGGAAGTACCCAACCCCGAGGATGGCGAGCCGCGGCTGCGGGAGGCTGGTGCCCGCCCCGCCGTCGCCATTGCCCAGGTAAGGAGCGGGAAGGAAGCCGGAGGGGGAAAGGAGGGGGGCGGGAAGGAGAGGGGGCTTTCCCCCCACGCGATGGGCAAGGGAATCCCCGCAGGAAAGCCAGTGGGTCGCGTTGCCCGGAGGGAAAGTCCGTCCCGTCCCGTCCCGTCCCACCCCCGGGCCCGGCTGATGAATCCTTCCTTCCCTCCATCCTCTCTCTCTCTCTCTGGCCGAGGTGGCCACCTTCCCTCCCCACTCCGCCTACCTTATAAAAAAAAAAAACATTAGAAACCACTGGGTAATAGTTTCTCCTGCACCCCATACAGCATCTCTCTTTCTCTCCCCATTGCTTGCAAGTTAATTAATTAATTGCCCCTTCGATAGGCAATCGGCAATATTTATTTGCTTGCCATTTCTAGCCCACCCCAAACCTCAGCCCTCCATCTGCCTGAAAGCAAGCCAACACAAGCCAACAAACAAACCCACCCTCAAGGGCCTTCCGACTCTTGGAAAATAGGTCATCACCTACATGTAGCATTATTACTCTGTTGATGCTCTTCCCGTGCCAGTCGCTATGCGTTTTCTTTTTCATTTTATGCTTAATTCACATTTTGTGCCCTCATTTAGAATACATTCTGTACTTCAGCATGTATGTTACAATTGTTAGTATTATGCCAAACCACTTTATGATTGTATTGATTGATTGATTGATGCAATTTATATACCTATCCACTTAGTGGCAGGCCACTACTCTGGCGGGTGAGCACAGAAAAGAAAGCATAAAACCTCAATCTGGTAAAAATTAATCACACAATACAAGAAACAAAAGAGAACATTGAAATAAAAGGGAGCCCTCTGATCAATACAAAATAAATACAAATGCAAGAGTAGGCAATACCTTTATAGACCACTAAAAAAAATCATCATACAGTACACAAGCTTTTGTGGATCAAGACCACTTTGTCAGGCTTCTACCATGATGAAGAACATAAAGTCCAAAAGTTCATGGCAAGACGGATCTTGCCAGGAACGTTACTCTTAGATGTAAAGTCCAAAAGTTCTTGGTAGGATGGATTTCGCCAGGCACGTCTTTCTTCGACATAAATCAGGAAAGATTCAGGCATCATTTGAGTTGTTATCTAAAAGTTTCAGCTGAGGCAGCTGTGCGCTGGATCTCACACTCCAGTTCTTCAAATGAAGAGGCACAGGCCATGTAGACACGCACCTTCCCATTTGGCCTTCTGTTTCTCCATGCAAAGACCACATAACAGCGACTTCCTGATATATGTGGGTCCTAAAATCATTACCTCAGGGCTGGTATGTTTTTAAAAACTTCTTTGTTGAGTTCCACCTCTCAAAGTTTTCTAAAAGTACAGAGGGAAGCGGCTGGGCACACCTCCAGTAGGAGAGGATTCCAGAGTGATGGGGCCACCACAGATGTATTCATGATGTACAGTATTATCATTTTTTGAAATCATACCTAGAAGGGTGTTGCTGAAGAATGAACTGGTGATGTAAACTTGGCTAATTGTGGGGGGAAATGCAAATGCAAAAAAATGAAATCCTTTTGCTGTTTCTTTCCATGAAAGAGTTGTTTAACACCTACTGTTTCAACTGCTAAGAATTATTTGTTTCTTTGACTTTCATATATTTTCCAGGCATTAGCAAATACCCATTCCTTAACTGTGCATTTCTACAGTAAAATACATTACTTTTGCCACCCATGGACACTTGAAATATATTAGAATACAACAGAATGATAATGCATGTAGCTGTAGAGAACTCTTTTCAGTATAGCATTTCTAATTTTTACCACCCTGTACTCTTGAAGAATTATTATTTATAGATTTGCTAATGCTTGGAAAATTCATGAAAGTAAAAGAAACAAATAATTTGGCAGTTGCTTATATGAAACAGTAGGCATTAAACAACTCATTCAAAACAGAAGTAAACCATGCAGCATGGAGGAAAGGTCAGAAAACAGCAGAAACAAGCAGCATGACAATATCCATTAATGTTTGTTTTCACTTTTCATTTGTAGGCTAAAAAACTGTGGGTAAACATCTACATAATGAAGTTAATATGCGTACTTAGTGTACATATAGCTGTGTATCCAGGATGCCAAACTGTTTGGAATGCAGAACTCTCATCCAGCAGGTGTTCAAGAATCATGCCTATATTTATTTTGAAATCTAGTTGAATATCTCCACAAAATTCCCAGTTTAGATAGTAGAGTTTGAAAATGTGTGTTTTTCCCAGCATGTGGGGGAAATGGGTATGTTGTCTGATGCTACGTGTTGTCTATTTTTAATGTTCCTCATGACAGTATGAGAGATGGAGAAACTTTACTGAGGTTGATTTCTGAAAAGCTTGTGTTGAAATGAAGCAGACATACAAACAGTTGCCGATGTTTAACTTTAAAAGCCACAAGCTAAAAAGAAAAAACACCTAACTGTAAAAACTCACACAGAGAGGACATAGGTTGTTAGAACATTCATTTTTATTGTTCTGTACACTGCTGGAAATTGTGTGTTTGTCATGTGAGAAATGACAGTCGGTACATTAATCACATTGATGCATCTAGATCATGAGCGATCCCAATATATTTTGTGTATGCATCATCAGTGTGCACATTCTGAATGGCATTAACTGCATTACACAACATTGTTGGAACTGTCCAAGGAGAAGACCATAAGAAGATGGAAAGGAGGCAGGTCATAGAATGTTTTTACTCTATGACCAAGGCAGCTAAAATGATCTTATGCTGGATAACATATTAATGGTCTTGATAGCTCTCATGTAAATTAAATATTTCTATTTCCATGCAGCTGTGAGTATGTCCAGTACTTTTTTTTTGCCATGGCTGAGCCATGGAACCACTTTATTCTGAAAGTGGAAAGCTCCCCAGTTATTACAATAGAGAAGGCACGCTGCAGAAAAATTGGACAGAATCTGCAGTGGCTCCTGTCAGAGCACATAATGCCAAGCCCTGCTGCAGTTCAAAATGATGCCCAATTCAATTCTTTTCTGCTTTGGATTTTACAGATATATTGCAAATACAAGCAATGTAGGACTGCCCCTTCCCTTCACCAGTTGTCTGCCTGTTCCTTCTCCACTCATCTGTTTGCCACCCCCTTGCTTCTTCCTTGGTCTCTGTTGTCACTTTGATTTATTATAATTTTGTTATTATTATATTTATCTTTATGCATTATTTTGTACTCAGTGTTGTCTTATATGTTCCTCATATCTTCCTTTGTAAGCTGCCTAGAGTAGCGGTTTGCCACTAGATGAGCAGGATATAAGTCCACTAAAGAATAATAGTAATAGTTTAAGGACTGTTTTTTTCATATACCTCCCCCAGTGAATTTCCATGTCTGAGCAAGGATTTGAACGCAGGTCTTCTGAGTTCTAGTTTGTCACTCTGTCTGCTATGGTTTACTGGTTTTCAAATATAGGATGCCACTATGTTTATGTCAGTTCAAAGTATTTTCTGTTGCAGAACTACAACTAATAAATACCAAAACTCTTTTAACATGTTATTTATGTAAGCTTGAAAATATGTTTTCTGATTTATCTAAATGTGATAATATCTTTACAATTTTTGTATGTTGTGATTACAACATACAGATACATTTGATCTTTCCTGTGAGCAGTCTAAAGATAATCGATCATAGGAAAGATGATTAGTTTTTTTAAAAAATCACAGATGTCAAGCTAGCTTTCAAACTTCATCATCACACTGGGCAGCTCAGATGTTGGGGTAGTGGAGAACAAGGCAAAGGTTCTTCTCCAGTGAATATTGTTTGCATTTCCACAAATCTCAAGTTCTTTCCACCCTTGCTGTATGTTGCTGTTGGGGCTTTGTAAGAATAAGCACTTGGAGGATTTTACTTTTAATATATATGATTTTATGGTTTCTAATCAATATCATTTGAATATATTAAAATAAGGTGTGTCTCATTCCTGTGCATGTGCATCTTGAACATTCAGTAAATCAGATTAGATACTGAACTTTGAGACAAATAATTACCTTGTGCTGAGTTACTGTGAGCCAATAACTTTAGAAATGAGCTAGCTATAAAATATGCAGACATGCACACTTCATCAGGTTACATAATTTATATATTGGAGGACAAGTTTACTTATATAGAGGAGTAGATGTTCAGTGCTGTTCCATTTATGGATTATTAATAGAACCTCTATGGCTGAATCTCAAATAGATATGCTTTTTAAATTCTCTTATGTAAACATAAATTAGCAGTACAAGATTGTATAGAATTGTATTAACCAACTCCGTCTAGACATTAGGCAAAATTACTGCCAAGACAACACTTCACTGTGGTTTGCTGTAATGTCTGAACTAAAAACCATCATTAGGTATCAACCGCCAACCTAGACACTATTACTTAAAGTACTGTAGGTATGCAAAGTATACTTTGTGCTAATGTTTTTTTGTGATGTCTGATTTTACAAACTATAGCTATGGTTGTTGCATTTGCACCAAATAAATGGGAGAACTGAGAAGACAGAAGATGAAAGCAAACTGATAGCACAATTTGAGGAACAGATTGGAAATGAAAATAGACAATAAAACCCACGCAAAACCATGATATGTTTCTACATTTGGAAGCTCAATTTGTAATTTGGTTTCTAAACCATGGTTCAGTGTGACATTGTACCTGATCCATTTGTCTTCAGGAGAAGGTTTGCTCCAACTCAACCGTAGCTATTACATAGATCTATTGAGTTTTCAGTGGAGTTTTATAATACAAAAATGTGGGGCAGAGATCATGTGACCAGTGCCTGTACAGACCTTTGAATTATGTTCAGATGTTGGCCTAGAGGCATGGGCCCATCTATCCTAAAATTTCCCACAGTTGAGTTTTTGAGCTAACATTGTGGCTAGCACATGGTGGTATGGTAGATGAATACGTAAAAGAAAAAACTGTAAACAAGGAGAACCAGAGTTACAACAAACTGAAACAATGTTACCCAGATGATTTGTATGATTACTTACCTCCTCTTAACATTTGAGCAAGTAATTCTGCTGAAAAATTGCCTTAACAGATTTCCCACAAGGTTTTTGTAATAGTGCACACATGTAGAAACCTTTATGCCCCATACTAAACAGTTATTTGCTGATTTTGTAAGTGTGAGAACAGGCTGGCCATCTCTGGCTAGGCAAAACAGTTAAGGTCTTTAAAGCATGACTTATATTTAATGAGGACAATGTAATTATTGCTAATCCAATTTGGCGTTAGAAAGAGGAAAGAATTAACAGGCTGTGTTAGTCACATAATCCAAGTTATGGCCAGTGTGAAATAATTTGAACTACTGTTCAAATATAGACTCAGAAAAGATTTGCAGTGTATGTTTTTTTTAAAACAAAGCCATGAAACTCCCTTAATTTATGGGTTTGGTACAACTGACTCCATTTGCTAAAAACGATGAGGTTTAAAGTGATTTTTAACTGTATAACCATAATTATTTAATAGGTTGGGATTTTTTTCAAACCCAAAAGACAGACTTTTTTGGCATTTACACAACATTCCAACGAACAGGTTTTCAAAGTGGTTCTGTGAGTTCACAGCCTCTTCCAGAATTCACCAATATATCTTGTATGGAAGTAAATGTAGACAGATTTTCTGCAGAATACTGTGCTCTGGAGAGATTTTTACAATATTGTTTAAATAGGCATGGAATTTACAAAAAAATTAAAGGATTTCAGCTTCAGTTACGAAATCAATATGAAAAGTTACAATGCTTAACTTGCAAAATCCTGCTGAGTTTTTGATTCACTAGTTTTTCAAATTTTTAAGTGAGAAAATATCAATAGTCATATGGCAGCAATGCATTACATTCTTTAAAGATGCACCCAGATCTGCATTCTTGTCAAATTCCATTACGCTTGATATTGACATGTATCTTAATGAAAGAATTCATATGGGAAATAGACACCTTTTCCTGCTACTAAAACAATGTCTCATTTCTCTTACTATGATTCAAATGATGCATCCTACCACCCAATATGGAAACCATGATCTTTTGTGGTTTACCTGGTTGTTATTGCAGCATTAAAGGGGCAAGAAAATGAACAACATGTTGTCTTGGTACCATTAGACTGCCCTGGTATTCAAAGCCAACCCTTTCAGCCTAGGAGACTGTTATTAAGCCTATCCAGACTGCCTGAGTTGGGAGAAAATTTGGGGGTAACCAAAAACCCTATTGTTTCCTGTCTCTCATAATAACATGTGTCTCTAATCTACATTTCCCCTCCCCTATATAACTGTAATGGCTGCTCCCTGTTTCTCTTCACCTGCTCTGTCTCTTTTGATAAAACATCCCTTCCAGCAACACCAACAAGGACAGGCAACTGGGTAACATATAAGAACTGTTCTCTTCCCCTCTGTCAAGCAGAGTCCCTGCCCTCACTGTCACACAAAGCAATAAGTGATTCATATTGAATATGTTGCACGCGCATCCCACCAAAGTGGTCCATTGTTTAGGAAAAGGGACAGGTGGGGTAAAAGAGAGAGATGAGAGCTTGCTTGGAGGGCACACCTGGAGGAAACAGGGAGATAGTAAATGAGTCCATCGGGGTGCCAATTACATAAAAGCATGCAACCAGAATAAAGAACTGCTAGATCGCTCAGTGCTTTAGGCATCTGGCTGTGGAGCCAAAGGTTGGGAGTTCAGTTCCCCACTGTGCCTCCTTGACAGGGGCTGGACTCAATGATCCATAGGGTCCCTTCCAGCTCTGCAGTTCTAAGATGATGATGATTAAAAAGAAAGGTGCACTGTTTGGATGGGTATTGCAATTTTACTCACAGTGTTAGGTGACAGAAGATTGTGCGGTGAAATGGACTAAGAAGGCAATTCGGATTCTTTTACTTTCTGTGTGTCATTGTGTGCTCAGTCAGTGCTGTATCAGGGCTGACAGCATTACTAGCTGCTGCTGTGTTGCTTATGAGCATTGGGTTTTAACAGTGAGCGAATGGGATTCTTAAGCTACAGTATGTCCTTTTGTGTATAATCAGTGGCCAAAGGATTAGACTGTGAAGCTTTGATTTTAAATGAATTTGTTTAGGATTATATTAGTGAATTATGAACATATATGTCTATCAGATATTATGTGGCTTGGGTAAGGAAATTATTTCAACATGTATTAAAATACATAGGTTAAAATAACTTAAATTAAAAATTCAAAAATTCCTTAGTCCACAGAACTGTTCAACTGTGTTTCAGCATGATGAATAATTTTAATCGGTCAGGTTGTTCTTTCACATTATTATTTATGGCAAATATGTCTAAGATATGTAACTAAACCTCAATGTGTGGTGTTCTTTGTAACTCAGTTCATTCAGAAAACATTTAAGGATAATTTCAATCATGCCATTCACTTATGTATCTTAACACTAGTGTTTTAACTTTTCCCAAAATTAATTTACACTGTTAGCGCTGGCCAGTATCCAGATGAGTAATTCTGCCTGTGCAGTGAGAGTTGTCACCAGCCAAATCACTTTGGATTTCAAGGTGGGTGCAACCTGTATGCAACAATATATGGTTGCATCCACCCTGAAATCAATGGAAATCTGCCATGGTTGGTGACTTTACTCCTGTTGCACAGGCAAAGCTATGCAACAGGATACTGCCCACTGTTTTTATTTCTTCTATGGTCAGTATCCTATTACCTAATGGCAGAACAGAAGGGCAGTTGCAAGGTTGCCATTGCACAACCAGTTATAGCACAGACCTTGTAACCAGTGTGAAAACGGTTATACATCAAGATCCAGTTTAAGTGGGACAGTCCTTAGATTAGTCTTTCCAGTTTGCATTAAATAATTTATAAGTCTTCCTGAGTTCTTATACAGGGTGAAAGGTGTGGTAGAAGTTTAACAAACAGATAAATACAATTCAGGAAAAAGGATATTGACCTACGGGTTTTAAGGAGCCAAGTGTTAAGTAGAGCTTTCTTTGATCCAGCTTAAAATGGCTATTATTATGCATCACTTTACTGATCAAAACCTAACCTGATACAGTTGGTGCCTCGACTTATGAATGTCTTGACTTGAGATCAATTCAAGTTACGAGCAGCTCTGGCTGCAAAATTTTGCTTGACTTGTGACCGGAGCTTTGAGTTACGACTGGAAAAAAGGCAGGGGAACAGGCAGGGAATTTAAACTGCTGATTCACATTGTCTCATATGTTGTGTCCTCAATGGAAAATAATGTGAATTTGGCCATCCAAATTCTGATGCTTTTCCCACATAATTTGCCAATGTAGTTCCCCCCCCGCCCCAAGGCCCATAGGCTCCAGGAAAAAAACTGAAAATAAGTAAAATTACATAAGAAAAGAAAGAAAAATGAGAACTAGTAAAAGGAAGTGAGTTCTTCTCTTGAGGTGCAGTTTCTTTTTGATTTACTGATGCTCCCAATTGCCTTGCTTTTTCATTAGCATCTTTACTCATGAAATTAAATTCAGTTCTATAGTGGTAGATGGAAAATTAGAAGGAAATGTACCTTACACCCCTTTTTTTTAACTGAGCAGAAACAACACTTTTTTGTCTTAGGGGAAATAACACAATCCTGCAAATATTATCATGATTCGCTCTGGGCATGTAGCCACTGAAAGCATCCAGCTTTGTCTCTTCTCCATATTGTTCTGCTTAACTTGGCCAAGGTCTTGACAGCAGAGCAACCCTTCAGCCTTCATTTAATTCATTCTGTGATCCAAGGATCCAGACTAAAAATGATCATAGGCTTCCACTTCCAACAGGAAATTGTCCATTTATGAATCAACAACAACAAAAAGCCCTGTTCCATTCAATTTCATAGTTTTGCAAGCCTTGTTGCCGGTACCCCAGAGCCCCAAAATATAATGTGTAACAGGGCTTAATACTTTAACAGTGACAACAGTACCACAACAATAGAAAAGAGTATAGCAAAGAAAATTATCATTCTGACAGATAGCCCAGTAGCACCTTTCATCATCCATTGATCATTATCACTTGTGACAGTTTACCTGCATTGCCAATACTATATGGATGGTATTAATAAGCAAGTTACAATGGCAAGAAAGACTAGGATAATATGATTTCAGATCACATACCCTCTCACAAATGGCATAAACATGCCACTAGAAAGCACTTACATTGCCTCCTTCCAGATGTATGCCAAATGTCACAGCTCACTGGGTCAGTGGAAGCAGTTGTGCTGAGAGCCAGGAACTCTTCAGGTTTCTCCAGACTGGGGTTAAGTACAGTATAAGCATAAACAGTTTTATAGTTATAAATAAATAAATAAAAAATATTAAAAAAAAAGTAAAGTAATCTTTGTAACAGGGACAGATTTTGATGAAACTTTTCTAGATTCAGGAATATCACATGTTATTTAGTCCCATACATACTTGGAGTATATGTACCCCTGCTGGCTTTTCCATACTGCTGCTGGTTTGCTATAATGGACTGCAGAATTAGTTCTCCTTTGTATTTGCAGGAGGGAAACAAAGGGAGCCATTAATTTTAGTGGATGTAAAATTTACATCAGTTACTCTGCCATCTCCATTCAGAAGGGAATCAGGGTCATGCCTAGAAAGGATAGAGTTTAAACATCTTAGTTGTTGTTATTGTTACGTCCTGTCTTAACAGCCTAACAGGGGTTCCAAGGTAAGTGGGATAATTAAGGGATGGTTTTACAAGTTCCACTCCCCCAGTTAGTTTCCATGACTGAGTGGGGATTCGAACCATGTTCTCCAGAGTCATTGTCCATCACTCTACCCAGTACACCACACTAGGAACCCTGAACCTCTGTGCTAACCCCCAAATCTACAACAGAATAATCATATCAATATACCGTAACAAGCTATACCTATAGAAAGGATTTAGTGGCCGCTGAACTTAAGCATACAATTATCCTATTAGTGTAATGGTACCCCCCAAAAAAGACATTTCAAAATACTTTTACAATGTTTTTCAGATCCAAACTTTGTTGTGGGATGACTCAAGATGGAAACTTATTGAAAAGAAAATTGTCTACATAACAGACAACCTAGCTGAAAGAGCAAACATATCAGATCGAAGATTTGATGCAGCTGCAAAACCTCTTCTTTTGGATCTAAAGTAATTGTTAGAACAAAATTTCTGAAACAGCATGACTAATTGCAAAGGAAGATCTGTCAGTAAGAAAATAAATGAGAAAGCCTGTCACAGAGAAGGGTTGGTGAATTGGACCATAAATCTGAATACAATTCAGTCTGACAAGTTCTTGAACCTGCTGTTGAGTATGGTCCCAATTGTTTATCACAAGAACCAGGAAGAGAGACACAAGAAAGTGAACAGTGTCTGGCAAGATGGATTACAACCATCAGCACATAATTTCAGTGTTAGGACTGACCAACACATTGATTATCATCCGTTTTCAGAATCAGCTTTTCATCATGGCAGTAATGGACATAATTCATCAAGCTGTAGTCCAAAGTATGATAACTTTACAAGCTATAATTATTCAGATCGAATAGACTCGTCAGAAACGGATGCTATGCTGCAGGACAACAATGCATCTAGTGATGTTGTCGAAGATATTGTTGTGGAAGGGACCAGAAAACAGCCCAAAGAATCTAGTAGCGTTATGGCGCTGCAGATACTTGTTCCATTTTTGCTCGCAGGATTTGGAACAGTATCAGCCGGGATGGTTCTAGATATTGTTCAGGTTTGTATTTGCCTCATACAGGTTTCATTGTACATGTTCTGATTTTTTCTTTGCACTTAATTGTAACATTTAGTATCATTTTCTAAATTAAGGCTGAAGAGTAGAGACCAAGGACAGAATCCTGCGGGAGACATCGATTTATGTAAGCACAGTTGCAGAAGTAGTTTTTGTTCTTTTCCAACTGCCCATGGTGCAGTTGATTGCACAATCAGCAGATGACAGGGCATGCAGTAGACTGCCCAGAATATAGTACAGTTTGCTTGTACAATTTCCCTTGTATAATTGTGTGAGCCCACGAAATTCTGTCTTGAGAAATTATGGAATACATAGAGTACAGAAAGTTAGAGTACTTTGGCCATGTAAGGAGAGGTGAAAACTATAGTTTGTTCTGCTGATCATCCATTGTAAAATAAGAGGGAAGGAGCGCAGGAGGGAGAAGAGTTTGTGGGTTGGAAAGCCTTAAATATTGGTTTGGATGCAGTGCAGCATCAGCCTTCAGTCAGAATAATCAATGAGAAATAGTCTGCATGCCAAATTAACTTCCATTTTAGCAGCTGTTGTTACTTTGCTGTGTAACCCATTCAGCTGAAGTGAAAATAGTAAACGAACCTCTTACTACATGCATAATTTAACCTGTTTGTATTCCACTATGTAATTTGGATTTTTACCAAAGTCTCTGTCTTCACCTATTTTATTTCTGTCAAAAAGCTCCCAAACCTCCCCACCTCCAGAGTGTGAGATGAAAGATTGCAGTAGGTATAGTATGTTTTATGGGAGTATAATAAACACAGCACATCCATTTTAGAATGCTCTTTTTAAGTTGCCTGTGTCTCCCTGGCGTAGCCCAAGGAAGGAAGGAAGGTCCTCTGTAATGGTGGAGCAGGCACTCCAAAGGCAACAAAAGGAGCAAGACTCTTATTTTTTTTCCAAGTACCACCCTATGTAAGAGCAGATCAGCTTTTCATTTAGTGGATGACAGTAACAGCCCTTGGATGACACTAACAGACCATACAAATAAAAATTAACATTGGCAAATCAAAAGGGGACTCCTTGGATTCAGTGGTTTTTTAAAATTGCATTTGTTTATTTGTTTGCCATAATGGCAGGCCAGCAGAGCCTTGCCATCATGAGATGTCAGATATTATGAATGATCTCTCTTTCAAGTTACAAACTGGTGCATTGCCTGGGAAGGGTTAATGGCATGAGACAGCTAGTCAGTGATGACGATGCTACCTCAGAAGTATAGGCTGAGGAGGCTCATTCAGACCTTTCAGTTAGTGCCCTGAGAAAAGCTTTCTTTGTTCTTTTCTGGCATGACTGGAGCAGATCCCAAGAAAACCGGAGAACCTTCATGGTTTTGATTAGCTTAGGCATCTGTTTTAAGTGCATCATGCAGGAGAAGGTTATGTTTCTTTGCTGCCAATGTAATTCAAAAGATATTTGCACATTTTTTTTACTTCAGCTGTGATGAAGGATGGAACCCAGAATTTATATTCTGTCTTTTTGTGGTTTTTTAAAAATTACTTTTTTTTTCCATATACGGTATATATAAGTAGTAAGAACGTGCCTTTTTAAATAAATCAAGCCTACTGCTTTAGCTAATCTGAATGCAAACTAGATTCTTCTAGTGGGAGGAAAGTCTTAAGAGCTTGGGTTTTTTGTTGTTGGTTATTTATTTTTATTTTTTGCAGGAACAGGTGATACCTGTATTGAACCATTAAGATAATGAAACAAAAACAACAACAAAAGAAAAAAAATAAAACGGGCTTTCAAGGAATGCACCAAGTTCGCGTGGTTAACACCAAGATTGTATGTTTATATGAAAGTCTCAAAAGTTTCATGGCCGCAGTTGGGGGCCAGGTGCAGGTTCTTAGATGCAGATTGCTGTAATCTGCAGTCTGCCAGATGTTTGTGGAGGGAAGGATGTGGCTTTAGTCCACTCTTCAGCCAGTAGTTTGGAATTTATGATCCATCTCAAAAGGTGGCCAGCACTTTGCCCACCCCCTTCCTTTCCCCCTTTCTTCCTTCATTTGAAACCCAAAGATAGTCTATTTGGCTAGAAACCAGCAGGGTAACAGAAACATCCCTACTTTGTCCTAATTTTTTCGGGGTTTTTTTTACACTAAATCTCCTGGTTCCAGGCAAATAAACAGGAGTGAAAAGTGGCTCTTTGAGGGGAAGTAGTCATAGTGACTGAGTGAATAAACAAGGCCCTCTATCTCTGCACAGATTAGGGAATGAGGAAAAGCTTCCAAATCTGCTGTGATTCCTTATAAAAATGTTCTGTCCTGCTGCAGGTACTTAACACTGCATCAGAGTAGACTTTGGTCTAGATAGGGGGATATAAACAAACAAACAAACATATAAAATTCAAAACACTTTTAAAAGTTTATTTCCACGTTTTGATGTTTTATGTTTTTCATTTGTGAAATAGCACTGGGAAGTTTTCAAAAATATAACTGAAGTGTTCATCTTGGTTCCTGCCTTGTTGGGTTTGAAGGGGAACCTGGAAATGACTTTGGCATCCAGATTGTCAACTGCTGTAAGTATTTGTAGGCTGTTGTACCTGTTATATTTATTGCGATTCAAGGTTATACTCACCAACTGCTTTTGTACTGTAATTCTTTTAGCTTTTAACAGACTTGTACTGATATCTGGAGAGGAGGTAGAAATACTTATCAGTTCATAATGGCCCCAGAATTGATGGTCCAGTCCAGTGCTTTAATTGCCCACCACCCTTCAATCATTAGGAGCAAGTAACATCTGATTGGTGAATGAACTGTGCTGCCAATTGCACAGTCTATCCCATAATACAATTAGCAACAAAATAACAGTAACTGCTATCAAGTCAATTCCAACTTATGTTGTTCCTTTCCATGGTTTTCTAGATACATGAAGTGTTTAGAAGTAGTTTACCATTCTCAACTTCTGGGGATGCTCTAGGGCAGTGGTTCTTAACCTTGGGTTACTCAGGTGTTTTTGAACTGCAACTCCTAGAAACCCCAGCCAGCGCAGCTGGTGGTGAAGGCTTCTGGGAGTTGCAGTCCAAGATCACCTGAGTAACCCATGGTTAAGAACCACTGCTCTAGGGCTATGTAGTTTGCCCAAGGTCACATACACTGGTTCTTCTCCTGCAATGCACAGTGAGGAATTTAACTCTTCATCCTTGGCCTCAGCTATGTGTTCCGTTTCACTGAGCTATCCAGTTAGCTCATAATAAATTACTCCCAGTTTTTTGTCAGCCTGGTTGTACGACAACATCTTCAATTCCCTGTTTTCACATGTCTATATGAATATTTCTGCAAATGTGTGTTTGTAAGAAATAGTCTGCAATTCTTTAATTCAGCTTTTTAAAATAAAACTTAGCATTGTCTATTTCTTTATCATACTTAATTTTTTACAAGTAACTTCACATATGTAGCAATATATTGAATAGGCCTGTCTTAAAACAGTTGTGAATAAACATATTTTCAAGTAAAAAAAAACATTGGCCAGTGAATGTCGCATAGCTGTCTGCACAGTGGGAGTGACAACAACCTTCATGTCGGACTGCTGCTAATTAAAGAGTTCCCTTTTTTAGTTTCATAGTGCATGTAGCTTGCACACAGTGATACAACGTTGAACTAAAAAAAGTGTTTTAATTAGTGACAATCTGCCATGGTCAGTGACATCATTCCTTTTATACAGGTGGAGTACACAACAGGATCCTGGTCAGATATTTCAAGAGTAGCAGAATGATTTTTGAGTGGGAAGACCACCACTGATGTATGCCCTTCAGGCTGCAATCAGTTGTTAATTCCAATTAGAAAATGCCCGTTGAATCAATGGGAACTTGATATGTTAACATTTATGGAAGTTCCATAGATGCATTGTGTCTACTCTGGTTGAGGCCAACAATAGATTTAAGCTATATATTCCTCATAATTGTTCAAACAAGTTTGATAACACTAGAACAAAATGCTCCCTACTCCCAAATCATTACACTGTTTTAGTGACCACCAACACAGTGCATTAAAGTCTTCTAATTGTCAGAAATCAATTATTGCTTCTTACAGGTAAATGTTGGGAAAATGGATTCACCAATTGAGAAGTGGAATTTAATAATTGGCAATTTGGCCTTAAAACAGGTAAGGAATCATTAATGCTTTAAAAAAAGTCCATATAATAGATGGTTTCTCATTAAAGAACCATTTTCACAAAGCTGCTGTACCTAGGTGAATTGCTGTGTATAAGAAATGACATTTTGTGGAATTTTTAGAGTTCATACAATACCCAGATGTTGTACACAGTATAGCCAGACTTGAGGATTTCCCACTTCAAAGTTGTGTAACACCAATTTAAAGCAAGTCTCTGGAACATACAGTCACTAAGTATGCTGCAAGCTTGTATATTTCCCTTTTATATAGATTTTAAAGTATGTGCTTTTCTTAAAATACAGACCTGGAGCTATTAAAAAAAGTAATTTATGTTCCAAAATGTTTTTACTTGATGCTGTTTTAGGCTATTTGATTTTTTAAAATTTTTGCTTGTTTGCAGTTTATACTGAATGCTGTAGAACTCAGCCTTAAAGACACTTCCTAGGTACTAGGCTCCAATGAGCTCAGTGGGATTTCCTCTTGGTCACCCATGCTTAGGATTGTGCTGTGCATGTTTTTAGTTGTGTATGCTAAGTGTTAAAATCTGTATTAAAATAATTAATTAAAATAAACTGACAATATTACTTCCTCTCCACCTGTTCATCTGCACAGCTTCTTACTTTAGTTTTGGGTATTTATTTATAGCAACTTCTAGTTTCAAGAAAAAAACCTTGGCAGTTGAGCAGGTTTCTTGAAACTTGACAGTGGAAAGTTTGCACAAATGAACAAAACAAATAAGTCAACAAAAGAAACAAACAAAAATCAATAAAGCATCCACCAAAAAAAAAGTTAGCAATTAACTCATCCAACTCTGAACACACTCAGACATGCTTGATTTGGACAGTGAATACTGGAGATGGGAGGCCACCAGGTAATACCAAGGGTCTCTAGGTTGAGCTCAGAAAGGTTCCTGCCTGAAATTTTGGAGCGCCAATAGTCAGTTTCATTCATTCATTCATTCATTCATTCATTCATTCATTCATTCATTCATTCATTCATTCATTCATTCATTTATAACCCACCCATCTAGACCGAAGTCTACTCTGGGCTGCTAACAACAATCCATAAAATAATAACAATATAAAATAAAACAACAATATTAGTATAATTGAAGACTGCAAGAAATAGATTAGATGATGCTGCGAGGGAAGGCCTTTTTTTTTTTTGGTGAGGGACCATAAGTCAAAGATAGAGCTCAGGCTTTTTATGAAAATGGACCCAGATTCAGTTTTTCACATCTTCCAGAAGGGATGGAAACCCCCCTGAAACCCTGGCTTCCCGTAGCTTTTCCTTGGCACTGCTACCCGGTAACCAGGTCAACAGTATAGTTGGTGCCTCTTTGTATAGAGCTGGCAGGATTAAGTGAGTGCCATTCTTACTGAGCATGGAGGCACAGCAAAGGGTGGCAAGGAGAAGACACCGGGTGGCAAGGGCACAGCTGCTTCTGTTCTTGTCTCAGACCGCAAAGCATCTTGCCTTCCTAGGAACCACAGAATTTCAACCTAATTATTTTGGGCACTATGATGATGTTGTTAGCAGTGAACATTCCAGCTCTATCCCTACCCATAGAAGAACTTGGAGCAGAGGAGAGCATCACTCATGAACATGTTTCATAATAATTTGAAGAGACAGTTGAATTTCATGGTGACTTGTGTAAATTTGTTACAGAGCAGTCAGAATCCTAGTGGATATTTTTGTGTGCACAAGAGGAATGGTAGATGTTGCTACTGTGAATTGACAAGATAATGGTCATGTCTCACTTGTGTACCTGACTGCATGCTTAGTGCACCTTCAGAAATGTCTGTGATTCCTCATCCATGTGTTTAAATAGCCATCAAAATGCTGACCAGTGTTAATACGGAAGCAAACTTTTCTAATGCTAAATGTTTTTTTTTCTAGGTGCAAGCAACAGTTGTTGGCTTTTTGGCAGCTGTAGCCGCTGTTATATTGGGCTGGATCCCTGAAGGCAAATACAGCCTTGATCACTCTGTCCTCTTGTGTTCCAGCAGTGTAGCAACCGCCTTCATAGCATCTCTTTTACAGGGTAAAAATTGTTATAAACATTTCTTAAAGGCAAAGACTCTTAAGTATAATATAACAAATATTTCGCCACTCAAAAAGAGCACGGTATTTAGATCAATGCTAGTTTCAGGCTAATTCTAAAGTTTTTCAGAAGTGTTTGTACAAAAATACCGTATTTTCCCATGCACAAAAATGACACTTTTTCCTAAAATAGAGGGAAAACTGAGTGTCGTTTGATACACGGAAGGAAACAGTCATGCGCACGCTTGGGTGCCTCTTCCTGCCACTGCCGCCGCTGCCCAATTGCCTCTTCCAGAGCTCATGGCTTATCCCCTCCGGTGGCCCCGAGGCAGCAGGAGGAGGAGGAGAAGGAGGAGGTGGAGATGGAGATGGAGATGAAGGAGCATTCACATGTGCTCGGGCACCTCTTGCTGCTGCCTCCCCTGCTCACCCGATCACCATCTCCAGTGGGACTGATGGGCTCAGCTCACATTGGTGCCTTGTCCCCTCCGGTGGCGGAGGCAGCAGGAGGCAGAAGAGGAGGCAAACAAGCACTCAGGCGCCTCTTCCTGGTGCCACCCCCCGGATCACCTCCTCCAGCAATCGATCGTTTCCTTAGGGCAGGGGACAAGGCAGCGAGGTGAGCGGGAGGTGAGCCTCCTCCAGCAATCGATCGTTTCCTTAGGTCAGGGGACAAGGCAGTGAGGTGAGCGGGAGGTGAGCCCGGCAGTCGCACTGGAGAAGGTGATCAGGCAGGCAGTGGAGACAGCAGGAGGAGGAGGAGACGGAGGTGGAGGAGCAGTTGCCCATTAACTGCTTCTCCGCCTCCATCAAGGGTCAAGATTAGGGAGTTGTTTTATACATTGGGGGGTTGTGTACATGGAAAAATATGGTATTTTGACTGATCATTTATCTAAGCAAAGAATTATTTTAAAATAATTTTTTCCTTCCATCTTTTCAAAATTATCAATTTATGATGATGAACGGCTACTGATGGTGGAAGAAGCAGTAGAAATCAGCTGGTTGGATCCTTACTAAAATGTCTTGTGATCTGAATCAGAAATGAATTAAATTTTAGCTTGACAGACATAAAAGGAAGTCTAGGTAAACTGGTTCTGTAAACAGAAATGCTTGTTTAATAAGCTGTGCAAAATTGACTAACGGGTTTTATTGCTTATAAAATATTTACCTTGTCCTGCTTGTACACTGGGTTCATTGTGAAAGGTCACTTTGCACTAAATGTCTGTGAAAGTAGAGTGCTTTTCACATAACAATGAAGAAGATGCAGCTTAAATAAAAGCTCTAGCTAAGGTTTCCCTCTTTAGAATTACAGCACGGGATTGACTTTTCTATGTTTATAATGGGTTTAGGAATAATAATGGTTGGAGTTATCGTTGGGTCTAAGAAGACTGGCATAAATCCTGACAACGTTGCCACACCAATTGCAGCAAGCTTTGGAGATCTTATCACCCTTGCCATACTTGCTTGGATAAGTCAGGGTCTTTATGATTGCCTTGGTGAGTAGGCTTCCTTTCAAAGCACTTGTAGTAAATAATTAACTGATTTGAAAAGCAACATAGAATATTTATGTACATGACAGAAATGTCAGTAAAGATAAGTATTTGTGAGTTAAACTAGATTTAACTGGTTTGGGCCTTGAGGTAGAGGATAACCTTTCAAGAATAACTGGTATTGTGTTAGAAGATACCTGCATATTTGTCCTTCTTCATAGGTGCACCATTTGGTGCTTGATAATGGTTTGATTTTTGCAAGGAAATGTTTTCTGTGCAGTTTTTCCCTGTGTGACCTGGGTTACTTGGTGAATGAAAAAGCTTGATTGATAGGACCTGTCAAAAGACCTTGCCCATTTAAAGAATCCAAGCCTGATAGCACACTAGTGTTCAGTGACAGAGATTGCATGAAAGGGAGGGATTGTTACCACCAAAGATACAGGTCCTTTGTGAGTTTGCTCCATTCCTTCCCATCTCTCTTTTGTTTCTGTAATTATTTGTACTAGTGTGCATTCAGAGTGTCCTGGACTGAACGTATGATGGTTATTAGCACATGGCTCAAATCTGATGATATACAGCCTAATTCAAAGATGGATTTCCATCCATTCCTTTTATTCTGTATTTTAAATTTCCCCCTCTACATCTGTTTAAAAACACCTTTTCATCAAGAGTCCATGAGTGAAAATATGAGAGGGCAGCTGGGATACTACAGTACTGCTGCAGTGTGAAGACATAAATGAGAGGGGGGCAATCTGTAAATCTAATTCAATAAATTATGCTACAAAGGAGGTGTACCATGTTTATGACTAAAATAATTCTTTGTGTAGCTTCTCACATTTGTAGACAATCATGTGAAGGGACTTGACATTTCTTAGAAAGTAGGTAGGGAGTATATTCTTACCACCCTGTTCTTCCTTCTTCCCCTATTACTCTACTTCCCCAAAACTTCTCACTTCTAATTCGCATTTAACTCATAAGTTAACTCATAAGTGATGGGTTTGGCGTTAGGTACCATATTTGCCAGGGTATAAGACGACTGGGCGTATAAGACGATCCCCCAACATTTCCACTCAAAATATAGAGTTTGTTATATACTCGCCGTATAAGACTACCCCCTCTTCCGCACACCTTCCACACACCAAATAAAATGTGCTATTCATTGTCACCATTGTACGGCTGCACCGTGACCGCAGTGCCTCCGGCCCACCCCTGCATCTCCCTGTGACCGGCACTAGTGCGCAAGTGCGCATGTGTGAGCTCTGCGTAGACAAGGGGCGGGCCAGAGCACTGCTGCTTCCCACTGAGCAGAACGGGCCGGTCACGTCAAAAAGGCTGGTACCCCTTGTCCCGCTGCTGATGCTCGCCGCGGCCGCACTGGATACCGCGCGATACTGGGCGGTATGTAGAATGAGGTGGGCAGGCATCGGGAGGCTACTATGGGCACCGGGCGAGCATCGGAAGGCCACTATGGGCAGCTATGTCTATCCCAACTGAAGTGCACCCGGCGTATAGGATGCCCCCCCCCCCACTTGGAGGCATGTTTTTCAGGGCAAAAAAGTAGTCATATATGCCAGCAAATACAGTATTTGGATTCTGTTTCTCCATATTCTGCCCTAATGGTGGCATCTTGTCCACAATAAAGGTTACATATTAGGACAATCAAGTGGTGAGACCCACCCATTTCTTTCTGAGTAATCCATAGCTTTCATGATCCACACGATCAAGGCTTTGCTGTAGTTTATAAACTAAAGAGGAAGACCAAATACAAGTTAGTTTGACTCCGTAAAGGAAGCCACAGGTTTGAGTCTGCAAGAGCTGGTCAGGGCTGTTGCAGACAGCACATTTTGAAGATTGCTCATTAATAGGCTTGCCTTAAATTGGAAATGATTTGATGGTATATAACAACAGATATCTGGATGGCATGCTCAAGTGCTAGATCGCAACAGGAAAATGCATTGCTTTATTTTTAGCTACAGTGTATGTACCCTGTAAGAGGGTTCTCATGGCAGCTTATAACGGAGGTGGTGGGTGGTGAACAGAAGATGGAAGAACAACAAAAGGAATAATAAAAATACAACATGGCATAAAAAAACAAACGTGATAAGAGTGAGAACAGATTAAAATTAATGGTAAGGTTGTACAATACAGATAGCATGTTATTAGAAATGAGGTTCTCAGGTGATGAAAGTCATCAAATTGTCCTAACACCAGCTTTCTCACTTCTGTTTTATGGACTGCACAACAGGAGGTAAATACAGACTTCCTTTGTAAGTCTGATTGCTCAAGTATAAAGTTGTGTTTCTCCACTATCTGCTTCTAATAGTGTGCTATCTCTATTGTTTCATTCAACACTAGAACAGATTGAAAAGCTTCTGGGAATAAAGCTGTATTGACAGTGTGCCAAATTCACATGTATCTGGGTATACATGGTGGAACTCTGTTAAGTCTGCTAATAAATAGTAATGTAATAGCTCCAATGTCTGCTTCTTGTCAACCTGTGCTATACGTACTAAAGCAAACATGCTATAGTTCACTCCTGTCAAGCTAAAATACTAGCTAAAAAAGCATAGTGTCTAGACCCTGGACCCAGGATCTTTAGTTTGAAGACTGGTCTTTTAAACTAATTACAGTGGTGCCTCGCTTAACGGGCGCCCCGTTTAACGACGAAACCGCTTAGCGAAGAAGATTTTGCAATGTTCCCTATAAAATTGCTTTGCGATGATCGCTATCCTGTTTCGGTTACCGATTTTCGCATAGCGATGTTTTTCCTACAGCTGATCGGCAGTTCCAAAATGGCCGCCAGAAAAAAAATGGCCACCTGCTGTGTTTTGGGACGGATTCCTCGCTTACCAGGCAGCGAAAATGGCTGCCGTATGGAGGATTTTCGCTTTAAGGTGAGTTTTAAGCCCATAGGAACGCATTGAAGGGGTTTGAATGCATTCCTATGGGCTTTTTATTTTCGCATAGCGACGAAATCGCTTTGCAGCGATTTTTGCTGCACGGATTATCGTTGCTATGCTGTACTATCTGTACTATCTAAGAAATCACAGTTGTCCTGAGTGAGTGTGGCATAGTGGGTAGAGTAAGAGGATTCAGGAGACCAGGGTTCAAATCCCTATTTTGCCGCAAGAACTCACTGCAGTGTATTTTGCTGCACGGATTATCGTTGCTATGCTGTACTATCTGTACTATCTAAGAAATCACAGTTGTCCTGAGTGAGTGTGGCATAGTGGGTAGAGTAAGAGGATTCAGGAGACCAGGGTTCAAATCCCTATTTGGCCGCAAGAACTCACTGCAGTGTGACACTAGAAAAACCACTCCTTGAATATCTCACATACTTTGAAAGCACTATTGTCACTATAGTGTCGATGAGACCTGACAGCATGTAACACACAAACATGTTCTTAGTCCGTTGCAACAAAACCAGCACAGAATTTTATGGCATGTTTAAGATTAACAGAGATTCTTTTGAGGAAGTTTTTAAATATTGCAACTTGCTTGACTGCAATGCTGAAAAAGTGACTCCAGATAAAACTTGTTTGTCTTTACGGTGCTACCTGACTCTTTGTGATTTAGGAAATACTTGCCATGTGCCTTTTATAGTTAGCAGTAGAAAAGCAGGTACATGCAAAAAGACAAAATCCCATTCAGTGCAAAGTTACATTTTAAAAATAATGTATAACCAGTGTTAATACTCATTTAGAACACTAGAGGGTTCTGTTGGGCTGTAATTTGGACATTTTCAAATATGGTTTTGAGGTGGTATATATTAAATAGTTGAAGACGTTCTACTATTAAAATCAGTGGGAGTAACTTCCAAATGAAATGTATCTAAAATGCAAGTATGAGTGCAAAAATAGACAAAGAGGGATACCTGAAATATTCATTCCATTTATACAGTATTTGAACCTTTTGAATGAGAGGGAGTACAGATTCCTGTTTCAAGTGGACAGCTGTTTCCTGTCAGTGTAATGTCTTCTCCTTTGCATTATGGCGTTATTTCAAAGTAAGATATTAGAACATCAATGTGAACTCCTGGCGTATTTTTCTCCTTGGGATGCTGTGCCTCTTAATAAGATTATATCAAAATGATACCTGTTGACATTGCTTCATGTTTATTGATAATTTGTTCATGAATACAAAACCCCTGTGATATTTTCCTAGACAGACCTCAGCTTTTCCTATCACTGTTGGCTATTTTTTCATACATCCTGAGGTATTTTATCATGATTTTCCTAGACCTTAATGAGTACTTTTATAGATTTATTTGCTTGACAGTAGATTTATTTTCTTGACTGTGGAATGACAGTAACTTTTTCAGTTGGATCCTGTTTATTTATAATGTAGAGAGCATAATTGTAGCCCTAAGACACCTAAGTAATATAAATTGTCCTACACTGTGTGATAAGATTAAGAGTTTGTGTAGTAGCAGTAAAGATCCTACATATTGGAATGGCAGTTCAGTTCTTCACTGTCTCACACCGTCATATCATTAGTGTACTGTGCTCTTCAATATGTATAAACATCCCTAACTAGAGAGATGTGGTGCAGCAGCCTTTTTTTCACCCCAGAGTCTTCATGAAACTGAGAGAGCGTATATTGCTCTATACTCTCATGGTGAAGTACTGTACACAGAAATAGTGGATGATGCTGGCAGCAGAGTGGAAACCTATGGAACTGCAGAACCCCATGATGATTTAACACACTCTTCTTTGGCATTCATTCTCTGTGAGGTGCAGAAGAAATCTGCCTGTTCAATAATACTTTTGTGATTCTGGTGGCACCTTCGCCTCCTCATTTTGATATTGCAGGACCCCTTTAGTGGAACCCCCAGACTGTAAACAGTGTTGCTTGGACAGAGCGAAGACTGTGTGGGCAGCATTGCAGCGCTCTGGTATTACACATTTATTCATTCATTCAACGCATCCATCCTCACAGATCTGCCTGTAATCTTTTTCTGCTGTTATTTTTTTCTTCCAAGGAAATCTGTTTAATAATTAACTGAACCAGCTGAGTAAAATAATCCACTATCGTGGCAGTATTGTTTAATTTCATTTTATTAATTAAACACTTCTACAAATGGGCTTGTTGTTTGAATGCTATATGTAGATTGACTGGTATAAATTGATCAGTCATGATGGGTGTACACGTGTGATCAATGGCAGGTACAGAGATTACACAAAGAACAAAATACATATGCTTTTAAGATTTCTAGAAATACAGAAAGTAGTACTTTTCAGTTTCACTTTGATTGTCACAGCTAGTGGTTGGCAACTGTTGAGAATCATTATCATTTTTGCTAGAACTAATTGCATTTTGGCACTTCTAGGACTAATTCACTAGTGCAAAAACAATTGTGTCAAGAACATTTTGCACTCCTGTCATCCTTTCACTTTGCAGCAAAAACACCAAGTGGTACTTTAAAAACAAATGTGTTTTATCTGGTGTAAGCTTTTGTGGATTGCAGTTCATTCCTACAGATGCATGGCAGGCATTTCATGCACCTGTGGGGAGGTAGTGAACGCAAAAGGTAATTGGAATCCAGAAGTTCCAGCATGGTGATTGTTGTTAAGGATCACTGAACAGTTGTCACAGTCATTGGAGGTCATTGTCACTCCCCAATAACTGTTCGACAATCTCTAATGACCGCCATTAAGAACAGTGCATGCGTATCAGTGTCTAAACACCGAGATATTTTCCATACATCTAAAAAAGTGGGTTGTAATCCTCAAACGCTTATGTCAAGTAAGGTGTTGATCATTAAGTGGCGTAAAACTCTTTGTTTTGTTTTTGTTTGCAACACTGCAGATGTTTTCTCCATTGGTATCAGACACAATCCAGTGGTGCTTCAAAAGTGGACAGGTGACTGTCATTGTACAGGGGGCTCCTGAATATATTAATAGACCTCACTTTTTTTATAGAGGCTCCTTTGGTGTCCCCCCAACTCTGCAGATGGACATAATCCTGCTTTATTTTGCCAAAAACCTTTATGTATATCTCAGATTGGTTTTTAAGTTAACCATTCTACAATAAAAATATTTATTAAGGTGTTAAAATGCTGTTTACTGGTATACTGTATATATCAATAACAGTATACAGAAGCAAGAACTGATGCTATCTTGTGGAAGAATGGGCAGGAATTATTGTTTATAGATATGGCAGGTGGGAGGTCTGTAGTTATCCAGGCAGAAAATAATATTCCATAGAAATCCATAGTTTGCTTTTGTATGTGTGCTTTAAGATCATGTCTTGGAGATGATTAGTAACAATAGGAATAATTCTAAGGTCATTTGATAAGAGATGAGGAATAAATCTGTCAAACATGAGTTGCTGAAACTTGAAGATCAGTTAGTAAACAATTTCCCCAAGTATAATAGTTCTGGAATACTGCAGAAGACCACAAGAATAAATAATAATACACATCTTGTTGTTTTTATTGCAGATAAATATTATTATATATCTCCTTTAGTTGGTGCCTTTTTCTTGGCTATGACTCCTATGTGGATTGTAATTGCTGCTAAACATCCCGCTACAAGAACTGTTCTCCATTCAGGGTGGGAGCCTGTTATAACTGCTATGGTCATAAGCAGGTAAGTATCTTACATCACTGCAGAGTACTGTGGGGACAGCATTTTTTTTAAAGGGGGGCTCTATCAATCTGATGTTGCAGTTGACAAATAGTGTAACACATTTTTTGTATTTCACTGTAGAATGAAATTCATGTGTCTCTTCCCCTTGCAGTATTTAACTCAAGTTAGCATGTTTGTATGTCTTTTTATATTGATACTGTACTGTCTTTGTTTATTTAAAGTGACCAGAAACCACTTTGGTAATTGATGTGTGCTTAAGTTAAATTGTATAACTTGCCAAGGTGAATTGCTGCTAACTAAAAAGGTGCCAATTGCATTATGAGGCATCGGAACTAGCCCTCATCAGTTAGTGCAGTTATACAATTTTACTTAATGTATGCATAAATCATCAAAAGCATTCTCAGCAATATTTCCATACTACCCTTAATCCAGATGAGTCCATGCAATGTATAAAGACAAGAATGAAATTGATCAGGCCAATATAAATGCAGTCTCAACCTGTTGTGGCTGAATTGTCCTTGGTAGATGTACTTCTTCTGAAACTGTGTTCAAACCTTGACATCATCACCATAGAAAACACCCTCTCCTGTATAGATACATAACATACCTTCTTTTTAATGAAGGCATTCAAGGTAGGGCTTCTGTAGAATATCGTAAGGTATGGATAGGCTGTTTTGGGAAGAGTCATTCCAGGTATTTAGATAGCAAGCTATTGTGATTTTAAAGGTGATTATGGGGACATTGTTCATTTAAATCTGTGGAGCTCAAATTGGTTTAACTTTGGATAGCTATGTTTTACTTGTGGGCCATTTGTGTCCACCACAGCAATGAATCTTAATTACTATCCTATATGTTGTTCGTAGATAGTGAACAGGGGTTTGCTGGATTAAAGGTGGGGGGATTTAAGAGATTAAAATTTTGCAAATGTTTAGTCTGATCTATTCCACACCTCTTCTAGATACAGTGTCAGAGGTTTCATTTTCTTTAGACTCATTTCTGGGAACAATAAGCATTTCATTTAGCAAAAGTATGACAAATATCAGGCAAAAACTAGAACTGCAGAATTTCCACAATGGTTAAACAAGCACCATGACATTGTTTGTTGAAAATCTGAATATTTATTGCGTTCATTCTGATTGTGGTTGACATTTTGAACTCTTTTTCAGTATTGGTGGCCTTATTTTGGACACAACTGTATCTGATCCTAATTTGGTTGGAATTGTTGTTTATACTCCTGTAATCAACGGTAAGCTAGACAGAGGATTTCTTAAAACTGCTGTGGCTCACTTCATGCTGGTTAGATAAAAGAATATCCCAGACCAAACAGAGACATATGTGGGTGGATATCTACTACTGTAAGGTCACACTGTAATTTTAAAGTAAAAACAGTTCCTGGTTTTGGGTTGTGTCAGAAGGAAAAGATAAATATACATTCAGGATATTACTGAAAATGAAAAAAAATATTTCAGCTACCATGGTTTATAAATCCAGATCATTGCACTGTATTAAAAAAAAATCTTAGAAATGTGTGCTTACGTACACATCAAGATTTACATAGGTAGAAAGGACCTAGAATATTATAATTTCCTGGATTTTTTATTTTGCATAGTACACTGCAGCAATAACATTGCAGTACATTGAGTCAACCATATGGATATATCATTTATTGTTTCCTTTTGTGTTTCACCCACAGTTTATTGGCTAACAAATAATAGCATATGACAAGCCAGCAGTGTGTTGAAATAGATCTACAAATACTGTTGATGAGTGAATGAAATAGTATTATTTATTTATTTATTTATTTATTTATCTATCTATCTATCTATCTATCTATCTATCTATCTATCTATCTATCTATCTATCTATCTATCTATCTATCTATCTATCTATCTATCTATCTATCTATTTTTACATACATACACTTTCAAGGCATCTAGATTACTGTGCTGGAAACCCTCCAAGTACTTAAATGCAGGCCTTCTCTAGAATTTTGTTGGCCAACAAATTTCATAAGCCTATAAGAAGCATGTTGTGTTGGTCTCTCAGAATGCCAAGATGGTAGACCTATATCTTGTTGAGCTCAGATTTGTTCATCGTTAGCTGAACTTTCCTTGCATAGCATAAGAAAATCCACAACATTTGGGCCATTTTTAACCAGTAACTAAAGAGTCCCCATTTAAATTTTCATGGGTAGGGGATGTGCACTGCCTTGGTGCATATACACACACTCCTCAAGAATCACAGCAGGGATATTAGCCATGCCAGGACAATTGCAGGTGGATTTTCGAAAGAAGACAAAAGATCCATCCATCCATCCATCCCTCCCTCCCTACCTACCTACCTCTCCATATTAGACAGAGGAAATGAGTGTTGTTTTTTTTTAAGGGGGTGATATTTAAATGCATCCTACCTATCTTGACTGCCCCTGTTATGGATCAGGGCCATGCACACCTAGTTGTGAGTAAAAATGGTTCACTTAACTACATGTTTAAATTTAAGTTTGACCCTACTAAATATGTGAATTTGGCCCTACCAAGCACTGGTTCCCTTCCACACAGAAAAACACATTTATTGACTTTTGTCCAAGTTATTTTCTGCGATCTGGCCAACGCCACATTGGAGCCCCTAATGTATAGCTTAATCTGTGTCCTCGTATTAATTATGCTGTGCATTCCCTTATCACTCTTCACATAACTGGCTGGAAGGGCAGGGGAAAATTCAGTGCAATCATGTCAAGATATAGCATAAGAAACAATGATTTAAGATAAGCAGATGACAACATATTTCTGGTAGAAAGCAGGAAATATTTATTTTATTTTATTTTACTTCAGTTTCGTATACCACACCCTTTAGTGCTGCAGCACAACTCTGGGTGGTTTACAAGAAATGCAGAATCAAATAATTACTATAATAAAATCATAAGCAACCTAACCATATAAAAACAGAGGGAGACAGAGCATTAATAAAACTGCCTAAATCAGAAAAAAATAACAAAGCTACAAATAATAAATAACCGAGCAGAGATGTATGAGTACTTCAACTTTACTAGGGTAGGAGTGGAAGGCCTCCCTGAAGAACCATGTGTTCAGTTGCCACTTAAATGTAACCAGAGAGAAAGTCAGGTGCTGATTCTTCAAAGATGGAGCTACTGCAAAAAAGACCCTACCAGTTGTAGAAGATTTATGGGCTTCCCTCAGGAAGGCTACCTGGAGGAGCCTCGTTTGCAATGACCTGGTGGGTTGGGCAGCTGACATCGGGATAAGATGCTCCACCAAAAAATGTGGGCCCAAATTGTGGAGGGCTTTGCATGTGACAGTCAAAACCTTGAACCTGGAACAGCTATTGAGCAAAATGAAAGAAGAAAGTGTAAAAATGAGATTAGAGCTGAAACTTTAAAAATGATAATTATGACTACAAAAGAATTACGTAAGTTTAATGTTCACAGTGTAAGATTTCCCCCCCCCCTTGATTCAATCGTCACTCAAAATAGAAATTGCAACCAATAAATCAAAAGAAGACTAAGATGGAGAGATATGAGAAAACTAGAAAAGAACCTCAAGAGCAGCTATGTGTCATTCGGGACCAAAGCCAAAATCATTGATAGCAGGTTATTATTTATGTGTATATGAAAGCTTCCTTGTCATGGCGGAGGGGCTTGAGTAATTCATGAAGAGGAACACCATATATGGAGTGGATTGAGACTATTAAGGAAGCCGCAACTTTTCATTTGCAAGATCTGAGCAAGGGTGTTAATGAGAGGACTTTTTGGAAGTCAGTTAATTTATAAATAATTTATAAATAAGAAGCAATTTGATTATTTGTAACAACAGCATCATCGTTATGAAGGGGAAGTGTGTGAGTCAGTATGAGGGCTGCCCTTTTGGCAGTTCCTTTGAGGTTCTTGTGTTTAGGCCCTGTCCTCTATAAACAGGTAGTAAGAGCTTTATAGTGTGTGTTTTGCCATGTGTGCCTCCCCCCTTAACATTATGAGTATTATGAAATAAATCACCGTTGCAGTCCTGGGAATTATTTCTTCCCTTGTACTTACCTTCCATGCCTTTCCATTTGTCAACATTTCCATCTTCTGTTGCTATATGCCAGTGTTTAGCCCACATACTGTACTTTGTGCGAAATAAATAATATTTTATAATCTGGACTTTTCAGCTTCCTGCCGTAGGGGCATTTCATTTTATTGTTGGCCTTCTGTTTGAGTGTTTAAGGGTTGTATTTTTAAGTTGTCCTTCTCAATGGTAAATGTAGCAATGTTCAGTAAAATTGAGTTTCTTGATTATGTACATAGCACAGGAACTGTGGTTTTAAGAAAAATGCCAACAATCTCAAGTCTCTCAGTAAATTCACACAGTGGGCAATACTGACTTTTCCTACTGTAAGCCTCTTAAAAAGGTACTAAAAAGGCTTATTGTGACATGTTCTCTCGCACTCAGAAACAAAGAGCTATACTATAGGGAGTACAGAATGGCATGATCCATTTTACATACATGGGTGTTAACTATCCTCTTTTCTTGTGCAGACCAAAAACAAAATCAGCAAAACTGATTATTTTCCTATTGATTAGACTAGCGGTCCCCAACCTTTTTGGGACCATGGGCCGGCTGAGCCTCTGAGGAAGGCGGGGCACCCCCCCCTGCACTCTTGTGCTCTCGGGCACATACGTGAAGTGGTGGGGCAGCACGTGCGTGCCAGTGCTGGCGTGAGTGCTCCCCCAACCCTATGCACAGGAGCGCCTGCATGCCCGTCCGTCCGCCCACCCACCCCTTCATGCAGGCACTTGGGTGCATGCGTGAAGCGGTGGGGGAGCACCAGCGCCAGCATGCGCACGCATGCGCAAAGCAGCTGTGGGGAGAGGTGTGCATGCAGGGAAGGGGCAGGAGGTCTGTCTTCACGGTGCAGTCTGGCTCAGGCCACGGACCGGCACTAGGCCGCGAACCGGGGGTTAACGACCTCTGCATTAGATAACTTCATCAGAAAAATATGAGCAAGGCCATATTAATGCTATGGAATGTGATTTCACCAGCTTGGCAAACATCATCTAGCTACACTAAATTTGAATAAATATGCATAAAAGAATCAAGCTGTACAGCTTCCATATCAGTAGCACACACCATGTTCCAAGCAGACAAAAGTAATAGCTGGTTTTTTTGAAGCTTGGAAATGCCAAAAAACTGACATGCTTTAATTTTATTTATTTTATTTTATTAGATTTATACCCCACCCATCTAGACCAAAGGTCTACTCTACTTTAACTTCCTGACAGATACATAAACTATCCTGTTTATTAGAACTGTATATGTCCTATATATTCGCTAGCTGCTGGTTTGCTGTGCATAGGATTGCAGATGGGTAGTGCTTCGGGAACCGATTCTTTGCATTACGACGTTCAAAATAGCTGATAGTTGTGTTTTCAAAATGGCCGCCGGATGCTCAAAATGGCTCCCTGCTGTGCTTAGGTACGGATTCCTCGCTATACAGGCATCAAAAATGGCTGCCATATGGAGGATCTTTGTTGGACAGTGAGTTTTTAGCCCATTAGAATGCATTAACCGGGTTTTAATGCGTTTAAATGGGTTTTTTATTTTCGCTTTACGACGTTTTCGCTCTACAGCAATTTCGCTGGAACGAATTAACGTTGTTAAGTGAGGCACCACTGTACTAAAGGGTGAAAGACAAAGTAATTTACTTCTCTGCTAACTAAAAGTGTTACAAAAGGTGAACAGTGGTTCCACATAGGCTTAGGTCTGTTCAGAAATTACTAAGTGTATCAGTTTCTTCCCTGTAGAACTCCCTGCCAGCTGATGTCAGGCATGTGCCAAAGTTTCTTTGTTTTCAGAATCTGCTAAGAACATATTTATTTCAGCCAACCCTCCCAGTGAAATGTTACCCATGACTTTGTAAATGCAACGATTCTGATCTTTCAAATATTTTCATCATTTGTACTTTGATAGCTTTGCTACTATTCACTGCACAAGAATTAATAATAATAATAATCATCATCATCATCATCATCATCATCATCATCATCATCATCATCATCATCATCATCATAATAATAATAATAATAATTTATTGTCATTGTAAGTATATACACAGTATACCCATACAACGAAATTCACATTTAATGCATTCTCTGGGACGTTACATAATACAAAAAAATTGTAAACCAAAACACGGTTTGTCATAGGAATAGGAGTGGCGCTATAAACCTCCAGACACAATGCATCCTGGGGAAACTTCCTTCGTGCTGCAAAATAAATAAACAAATAAATTGTAAACCGAGGCATTATTTTCAATGGATTTCCATTCATAAACTGAAAATTACGTTAACCGAGGCATTCATAAACTGAGGTACTACTGTAGTGCTGGTGTGTTACTGTTTGTATTTTAGGGAGTAAATAATAATAGAAGATAAGGGACAAAGACTTTTCAATATAGTTGTGTGTGTGGTGTGTGTGCGGATATGGGTATGGATATTCATGTTATTTGTTTAGCTATATTTTTTCATGTAATAAATGTTCAAGCATTTTACATCTAGACATATGACAGAAGTCACAAGCCTGGTCAATATTTGTGCTGATAATTTTATATTGACAACCTTTTGCATTTACTAGTGGACTACATGTCCCTTTTAATAGGTTTATACTGTTCTCTGTTAAGTAATTAATTTGTAGAACAACCTAGGTAATTCAAAAGGCATGTTAGCACAGAAGCCATTAGAGGAAACAAATTGTCTATTAGATGAAGAAATAAAACAATCCAAACTGTTGAAGTTGCACAACTAAAGATCAGAATAATGCTAAATACTTTTAACAGCATTGATCAGAATTCAATTATACTGTAGACATCCTTCAGTCTCAAGAGACCATGGTAAAGTGCTCTTCGAACAGCATCTAGTGTGGCTGAGAAGGCCAATTCAAGAGTCACAATCCCTTCCACACTGAAGACAAATCCAATCTGTCCCCTGTCCAGCTCTCTGGTTTTGCTGCTTCCCGGGACTGCCTCTTTGCCTTGGCCTGGTGAACAGGTATCTCTTCAAATTGGGAGAGGCCATGCTGCACCGCCTGCCTCCAGGCTGAGCGCTCAGATGTCAAAGTTTCCCATCTGTTGAGGTCTAGTCCTAAGGCCTTCAGATCACACTTGCACGTATCCTTATATCGCAGCTGCGGTCTCCCTCTGGAGTGATTTCCCTGCACTAATTCTCCATACAGGAGATCTTTTTGAATCTGACCATGAACCATTCTCATGACATGCTCAAGCCAACGTAGATGTCGCTGTTTCAGTAATGTATAAGGTAAAGATTCCCCTTGACAAATTGTCCAGTCGTGTCCGACTCTAGGGGGCTGTGCTCATCCCCATTTCTAAGTCGTAGAGCCAGCGTTTGTCCATAAGACAGTTTCTGTGGCCAGTGCGACTAGACACGGAACGCTGTTACCTTCCCACCATGGTGGTACCTATTTATCTATTCGCATTTACATGCTTTCGAACTGCTAGGTTGGCAGGAGCTGGGACGAGCAACGGGAGCTCACTCCGTCGCATGGATTCGATCTTACGACTGCTGGTCTTCCGACCTTGCAGCACCGAGGCTTCTGCGGTTTAACCTGCAGTAATGTATACATGCTAACAATTCCAGCTTGTTCTAGGACTAGTCTATTTGGAACTTTGTCCTGCCAGGTGATACCAAAAATGCATCAGAGACAATGCATATGGAACATGTTCAGCTTCCTCTCCTGCTGTACACAAAGGGTCCAGGACTCACTGCAGTACAAGAGTGTACTCAGTACACAAGCTCTATTAGACCTGGATCTTGGTATATGCTGTCCGCTTCTTGTTAAGCCTTACTCTCTTTGTGAGTCTAGAGATCATGGTACTGTAGCTGCTTTGCCAATGTGTTTATCCAGCTCGACATCTAGAGAGAGTGTGTCAGAGATTGTTGAGCCAAGGTACACTAAATCATGAACAACCTCCAGTAGAATTCAATTAAGAATTAAAAATAAGATATCAAAGGACCAATGAATAAATAAACAAATCAGGAAAAATGTTAAACACTTGTGGCGAAGTCTGATTTCCAATTCTGTCTTGGAATTAATAGTGAAACTATACATTATTATCTTGATAGATAGCTTGTTAAATTAAAATTAACATGTGGCTTGCAAATTCACTTGGAGTAGTAGTGTGGGATCTGGAGAAATGTAGCTTTTTAATCTTAGACCATTTTTCTCATCAAAATTACCTTCCCACTTTCTGCTTGACTCCGCATTGGGGAAAAGATGTTAGATCCTTTGATCTTTTCTTCAATAAGGGGAAAAAAATTGGCAAAAGCTGTTCTGTTTGGAAAGTGGCCTGGGAAGAAAGAACCACTACTCCAATAACATACCTTTGGTACTTTGGTACTGTTTCCATTCAGCAATATGAAAAACTCGTGAGACCCTGTTTCTGGTTTTAAGGGTCTTATGTTTCTGCAAGCATGCAGCAATTTTGTTCCTGCCACCACCAGTCATAATTGTTTCTTTCACCATATCTTAAGGATGTCTGGTCACAGTAAAAACCACAACTGGTGAAATTCCCCTGTTCAGATCTAGACCAAAGTCTGGAAAAC